CATTTTGTTTTACTTGTTGTAATAATAATAAGTTTTCTTAATTATTCATCGGACTTGTGCATTCAAATCATAACGAACCCGTACGCACGCAACACTTTTTGGTGTCAGAAGTGCAATTTTGAATGCCAATTACAAGAACGATGAAAGAACAATTAAGGCAATTTAATGCAGCCTTTGTTGCATTTAAAGAAGAGATGAATGATTCTGTTAAAAAAAAGATGGAGCTGGTCAGGAAGAAATTGAAGCAGGACAAGAAGAGATGAAAAAAGAAATTACATGCATAATAGAAAATAAATTTGAGGCTACGGAAGGCAGAACAGACGCGGTTGAAAAAAGTTGGACAAATTGAAGAAATGTTTCTTCTGTCAAGGAACAAATAGAAGAGAGAGTTTCTGCCATAGAACAACAAATCGATTACAGAGTTTCTTCCGTGAAAGAACAAATAGAAAACAGAGTTCTGCCGTGGAACAACAAATTGATTACAGAGTTTCTGCTGACGTCGCCAAAGAAGTTGAAACCTTAAAGAAGTGCATAGCGACAGCAGGAAGCAATTCTGATAGTTTTAAATTTCTACCCATGCCTATTCGTCCCTCTCTGGAGCTATCGACATATGATGAGAAGACCTCTTGGCAAGTTTATAAGACGCAGTTTTCAACAGTGGCGGAAGCGAATGGATGGAATTCCCAAGCTAAGGCCTGTCATCTCGCTGCTGTCGAAACCTGTCTGATATACCTGGATGATATTATCATCATCGAAAAGAGTTTTGAAGAACATCTAGAAAATCTTAGAAAGGTGCTTCAGAAACTGAAAGAAGCCTATCTAAAGCTGAGTCCCGCTAAATGCAAGTTATTCCGACAGGAAGTGACTTACCTCGGACATATCATCTCTGCTAAAGGTGTGTGCACGGATCCTGAAAAAGGAGTCAGACGTTAAAGCCTGGAAACGTCCCGAGAATTTCCATCAACTGAGAAGCTTTCTAGGGCTTTGCACCTACTATAGGAGATTCGTGAAGAACTTTTCTTCCATCGCAAAACCCCTTTACAAGCTGAGCAAGCAAAAGTTCTTGTGGACAAAAGAACGCAAGGATGCATTGACAAATTAAAGGAAGCTTTAACATCTGCTCCAATCTTAACATATCCTCAGCTCGACAGACCATTTATTCTCGGCATGAACGCGAGCAATAAAAGTGTCGGTGCGGTTTTGTCCCAAGAAATAGACGACCAAGAACGTGTAGAGGCTTTCTGAAGCAAGCGCCTGTCTAAACCGGAGAGGAATTACTGTGTCACCAGGAAAGAGTTGCTCGCCATAATCAAAGCCGTAAAACATTTACATACATTACCTCTATACAGCAGAAAATTCCTGCTCCGCACGGATCATGCTTCATTGACCTGGCTTTTAAATTTCAAGGAATCCTGAAGGGTCAAATATGCCAGGTGGATACAGAGACTCCAGGAATATGACATCACTATCCGTCATCGGAAGGAATCATCACACGGATACGCCGACGCTATTTCTAGAAGACCGTTGCCCAAAAAGCTCCCGATATTGTTCTAGGGTTGAAGCGAAATACGAACTGCTGATTCCGGTCGCAAGACAAATTACATCAACACCGGCTGATCGAGACCCATGGAGTGATGAAGCGATGAAGTCAGGGAAGACCAGCTGGAAGACTGTGACATTAAACCCATAATTGATATAATGGATTCAACAAACAGAAAATCTACCTGGCAGGACATTTCTATCTATAGTCCTACGACAAAACAATATTGGGCACTATGGGACTCACTCCATATTCGAAACGAGCGTCTTGTACCGGCATATTTCGAATCGGATGATGGAAAGACATTTTCCGATGGTAAGCTGATATTTCCAAGATCCCAAATTCCGGATATCCTTAAAGAACTACATAGCAGCCCTACAGTAAGTCACTTTCGGGATAATGAAGACCTTGTACAGAGTTCGAGAGCGCTTCTACTGGAATAATGCAAAGGATGACGCGCAAAAGTCTTGCCGACCCTGCGATGCCTGTGCAGGTCGGAAAGGACCGAAGAAACGCAGCCGAGGCAAGCTGCAACGTTACAATGTTAGGAGCACCTTTTGAGCGTATCGCCTTTGACATCATGGGATCTCTGCGAAGAACTGCTGATGGCAACAAATACATCCTCGTTGTCATTGATTACTTCATCAAGTGGCCTGACTCGTATCCTATTCCTGATTAAGAGGCTGTCACAGTAGCAGTGGTGATGATACAGCATTGGATTTCCAGGTTTGGAGTGCCTCTTCAGTTACATTCCAATCAGGGAAGAAATTTTACCTCGGCAGTAATCAAAGAACTCTGCAAACTACTCGGCATTGACAAAACCCAAACGACGCTATTACATGAAGGCATGGTAGAGAGGTTCAATCGAACCATCCTTAATAACCTCTCATTAGTGGTTTCCAGAAACCAACTGGACTGAAACAAGAAATTACCACTTCTTTTACTGGCCTACCGGAGTGCTGTCCACGAGACTACCAGCTATTCCCCATCACAGACCGTCTGCCTTGTGATCTTTTGTTTGGTCGCCTTCCGGATGTGCCTTCATCGCCTGAGGAATACATTCGAGATCTCCAGGCCCGGTTTGCACAAATTTGCTCGAGAGCGAGTCAACTTGACGATGGAGACAGTGGCGTAGCTAGGGTGGGGCAAGGGGGACATCTGTCCCTGGGCGCAGCATATAGGGGCACCAATTTGATGGTACAAAATTTTAGAATAAAGTGTTTTCCATTTGTGGGAAACAGAGAGGGACGCAAAATCTCCAGTTGTGCCCGGGCGCTGAAAACCCTAGCTACGCCTCTGGATGGAGAAGATGAATATCCGATACGAAACAAGAACCGGACATCAATTCCACGAAGACGAAAAGGTGTAGTTGTGGATTCCGACTCGACGGAAAGGACTTGGTCTGAAATTACAGTCATCTTGGGATGGTCCGTACACAGTCCTAAAAAGACGTCGTGGTTCGAAACAGTAAGTCATGGAACTCTAAATCTACAGTCGTTCATTACGACAGGTTAGCTCATTACTATGGCCATAGCACGTAGTGTAAATAATTGTAAATTGGTCCTTTTCGTTTCTAAATGTGTATTTGATTTCACTTGTATTTAGTATTTGATAGCATTTGATTTGTTTAAATTAGTTATTGCATTTATTGTTCAGATTGCTTGTTATCATAATGTAATGTTTATTATTACATTTGTGCCTTAGCTGTAAATTTGGCTTCCTGTCCAGGGATTGTACAGCTCGGGAAGTGCAGTACTTGGGAAAGGGGGGCAGTGCAGTGATTTATTTAGTTTGCTATTTTTAAAAGAATTGTTATTAAATTGTTTCATTTCCCTGTGCAATGCTGCACGCGACTTATTTGAAGAGAAAGCTACGCCGGAAAAGTTAAAAATACAGGAGCATGCGCATTTAATAAATAGACATCTTATAATTCCAAACTTTTGCTTTTCGGGAAAAATCGAGAAAGTTCTCCTGCATTTTAAAAATCTTATAAAAGCGACATCAAATCACCTCAGTTCAGTTGTTTAGTTGTTGTTTTATGAGATTGTTTAGAAAACTGATGTTGTTTTACTGTAGCGAATTCGCAGTGAAATCGGATTAGCTTTCTATGTTTTGAATTCAGTTTTGCTGAACCTTTGAGTAGTTTAAAAGATAACTACAGTGAAATATTGCAATATTGTATGCATATCTGTGGAAATTTAAGCATTTTGGTTTATTTGTTGTGATAATAATAAATTTTATTCATTTTTCATCATACTTGTGCATTCAATTCATAACGAAGCCGTACGTACGCAACAATATACACATTATTCGCAAATTAATTAATAATAAAATTTGAAAATTTCAGATTTTATATATACCCAAAGAGGCATTTTTTAACGTTTCGTGTGTTACCTTTATTTACTAAATATCATGTTCTTCGCACTTAAACGACATAAAATTCAATTCAACAGCAATATCACAAAATATTTAAAAACAGCATATATTTAGAATTTGCGATAGACAGTCTCGCGTGCTGGAAATAAAAATATTTTGTTTCCGTACCTTGTTGCAATTGCGTGCTTTGAAATCATTGAGTTTGTTAATCAAAAATTCGTTATAGTTTTATAAAATATGAAACAGATATAAAAAAATTCAAAATTCAGAACTTCGGCATCTAGGTTCCCATGTTCGGGTGGTGGATTACGTTATTCAAAATCTGATGGCTCTAGGTACTGCTATTTTTTTCACAATGCGAGGAACATGCATGCATTCATGCAGATTTTTCATTATTTAATTTCTTTAAACATAACACAAGGTGATAATATTTGGTGGTAACAATTTAAAAATTGGTTTGTGTTTTATAGCGAAGCACCACAAAAAGCCATTTGAGACCAATAGCCCTCTTCTGGGTTACCACTCCTTTGAGCTAATAATGATGGCTCTCAATAATTATCATAAAGGTTCAAGATGATTTTAGTCTTTGGTGAAGAGGTCATTTTAAACAGATACTTTTTATTAGAATCAGCATTCATTTGTACTCAAGGGAATATTTATCCCTATCAGAGACAGCCTAGGAAGTCTTATAGTATATTTACTAAACAAAAGATGGATGTATAAATTTTGTAAATTAATATGTCATCTTAGGATATTTCCTTCAGTTTAACATTTGCTAAAAAATATAATTACAAGTATAACTTATGGCTCACCAGTGGCCAAGTGGTAAAAGCCGCTAAACACTGGTAGTTCGGTCCGGGGTTCGAGTCTCGGCGAACAGGCTGGCTGCATGGGTGTTTTCGTGGTTTTCCCCATGTGTAATGTGGACAAGAGCCAGTTTCCCTTAAAAAGACCTCCACGGGGCCTCCCTCTCTTTCCGTGTAGTGCCCAAGGGCGGAGCACGTAATAAGCAAAAACTTATAACTTATATTTACAACAAAGGTGTATAAAAATTTTAGAAAAGTATATAAGTCCTTAACATTACCTCCTTAATACCCATAATGCCAAGGAATGTGTCCATTTGTCCAGCAGCTGACATCTGTTCAGTATCTTCACCTAGAAACAGTTACATTTAATTACTAGTAGTTAAATTTTATAAATATGACTTAAAATAAATTTGAAATTAATGCACACATTGATTTTAATTTTACATCATATACATGTAGATCTTTATAATGTAAAAGAAGTTTTCATTTAAGATGCTATTGGTTTCAAAATTTACACATATGTACTTTTTAAAATCAAACAAAAATTTCTTATCGTAATAAAAGCAGTCCTAATCGCATGAACGACTCTAATTGAAAACACATTATCTGCTACATTTAGGCAAAAAATTAAAGAGTAGCATTTTAAAAATTTATTTACATGAATCACTTTTGATTACAGTTCACAAAATATTCCCCTCTGATCATACAGCTGGCTTTTTTCCTCTGTGTGAATGTGTGCATTTTTTTTTGTACTTTTTTAATAAACAAAAATATAAGTTTGTAATATTAATTACACATTTTATATATTCAATTAATATACGTGCTTCTATAAAATATATTATTACAATGGCATCATCATTATTACGAATATTAAGAGATGAAATAAACTGCAACTATTATGTGAAAATATATACCATTAAAAAAACCTGAAATCTTTCAGATTTTACTTTACGCCCAAAGGGACATTTTTTAACCTTTTATGTGTTACCTTTATTTATTAAATGTTCTTCGCACTTAAACCATAAAATTCAATTTAAGAGCAATATCGCAAAACAATTTTAAAAAGAGCATATCTTTGGAATTTCCCATTCACAGTTCTGTGCACTGTAAATAAAAAGGTTTCCCTCCCCACCCATCCCCCGTAATGAATGTGTTAATGAAAAATTCGTTAAAATTTTACAAAATATGAAATTGATAATAAAACAAATTCCAAATTTCAAATTTGGGCTTCCACATGCCCATATTAGCAATAAGATTACGTCATTCAAAATTGGATCGCTTTAGGTACCGTTGTTTTATCACAATGCGAAAAATATACATACATTTATGCAGATTTTTTATTATTTAATTTCTTCAAAATAATGCAGGACTCTAACATTTGGTGGCAACAGTTTGAAAAGTGAAACGGACATTTATAGTGATTCAACGCAAAATCGCAAAACGAAAACAATAGTCCTTCAGAGACAAAGCCCCTTTGAACTAAAAATGCTGTAGTATAAAACTGATTACAAAAAACAAAAAATCAATATCCCAAACAATACATTTTCATTTTTTTATCTTATGTGTGCATTATTTTATAGTAGAAGCTTTCTGTTATTATTCTTTTTAAGTATCATACACATATCTAAAATAAGATGATTGAAAAATTAAAAATGAGCTGCTGCTTATTTCAATATGTGTGCATAACAGCCAACATATATACATAATTTACCAACTTTAGTCTTATGTTTCAGTAAATTAGAGAGCACTTGTATAATTCAAATACATGTCTGTTTTTCATTACAGTATACATATATATTTCCTAAAATATTAAATTATAAATTTGTATTATAATTTGCATAGTTACAATTAAGAATTTTACATTCATTTACAAAAATATTTGAATCTAATAAAAAAAGTCTAAAAATAATTCCAATACTGAAGTTAAATTTCATTCAGTTTAAAGAAGTTGCAAATTTCATTCAAAAGGAGATTAAATTATTAAAGTAAACCATTCAAGAGAATGGATTAGTTAAATAATATTGGGTGGAATATCATAATCTTGACATGCATGTTACACATTTATGATGCCGACAATCAGTGGAATTATAGCAAATTTTCCTTCAGGGCCAGTTTTGAACAGTTAAGAAACGTTTTGAAATTTAATAATACTAACCTGTAGCAGAAGAACGTACAGCAAATTTATACTGGTTAATAGTTCCTTTAAATATAATGTTCAGATTCTCTTCTATACTATGGCAAATTTCATTTGGTAAAGATCTTCTCACAATTATATTTTGTATCCTTAAAAGTAACAAAAACGTATAATTTTTATAAGTCCAAAAATATAAACAAAAAGAAATACAGGAAATCCTTTTATAAATGATGGTTCACTACAATGTAAATAATTCTTTGATAATATCCTAAGCTGATAACAACAGAAGTGATACATTTGAAGTAGTAAAATTTATTCATTTCTATTAGCAAATATATTCAGTTTACCTATTGACAATGTATTAAGCTCCAATGTTCAGGATTCAAATCAAACTAAGTTTTTCACATTAAATAGTTATACTAAAGTAAAAATAGTTATACAAAAGACAAATTTAAGCCCCATGTTTATTCATGCTAATAATTAAAATTTAATTTGTTATTCTACTCCAAAACTTTTCCTAGAAATATACACTTGCATTCAAAATGAGAAATGAAAGTTGAGTTTGTCTTGATAACATAAGCACTTATATTAATAAATGTTAAGTAAAAATTTATTATCAATATAATATTTTATTTCCAATCTTATTTGCAATTAAAACAAGACTATTGCATAATATTACATTAAAGGATACATTATGTTAAAGGATATATTTTTTTTTTTTTTTTTAAAAGAAAGAAATAGATAGTAGACCTTTTATATTACCATAGTATCAGAAATTTGATTTAACCTTATCTAATCACTAATAAAAAAAATTCTTTTTTAAATACGAAATCTAAACTTACATTCTGCAAGCTTCTTTTAAATCACCTTCTACATTTCCACTGAAATATGTCAAGCATTATGTTTTGGTAAAATACTGGAGGAAGGATATGATAAATTTTTAATAACACAAAATAAAAAAATTCCATATTTAATTTAACAACACATTATATTTTCATGTTTATCACATTTATGGAAAATCACAACACATTATATTTTTATTTTTATCACATTTATGGAAAATCAAAGTAAAAATTCTCATGTTAAATACTAGTTGAATTATATTTTGTTTTAAAGCAGTTCCAGTATTATCCAATATGTATTTTTATCATTAAACACAAAATTAACAAAAATGAAAAATTCTGTTAATCTTACTATGCGATATCTTCCACATTTTTAATTTCATTCAAAATTTCAGGAGTCAATAGTCTTTTGTATGCAGCAGTTGTAACAATTATTCCTCTTGGAACTACAAACTAAAATTGCATAATAACTAAACACAGTTATAAAACATACAAAAAAAAAAAATAAAAGAAATTTTTTAAACATTTTCACTCACAGCTTTATCATCAAGACTAAGTTCAGTAAGTTTCCCAAGAGATGATCCTTTACCACCAGAAACTTCAGAAAATTGAGATATTTTATTCTCAAAACAGACTGTTAAAGGAATATCTAACAAGAAGAAATAATGAAATTTAATAAATAGCTATGAGAAAATGAAACTGAAAGATTTTGTTCTGTGATATTAATACACAACCACTCCAATAATTTGAAGAATCTGGAAAATAAATAAATACAATTAGATAAATAGTAGGATTCATTACTGGTATTCTTAAGAAATCTTGTAAGAAGAGATTGCTTTGGATTAGCTTATTATCAGGTTATAGGCAAACCAAAACAGTTGCCATATGAATGAATATCTAATAATTTGTTACAGAATGCAATTTAGTAAAACCTTATTTTTATTTATGAACTTCTTGATTCATGAACTCATGAATTCTTCAGCTTTACTTGAATTGCTTTAAATTCCTTTGATTAAATAATAAATCAGAAATTCTAGAGACAAACAGCAAATACTTTATTCTAAAAAAAAAAAAAAAAAAAAAAAAAAGCTACTACTCCTAAATTATTTTTAAAATGGTGAAGTACTTACTTGCCAAAGTTATTAAAACATTAAAAGAATATTTTTTCATTAAACATTTTTCAAAACCTCTTTTTCTGTCTTTATTATTAAATGGAGTGATGCAAATTTTAAGGATAAAAGCTTTGTAACTTAATAAACAATATTTAAAAGTGCAACATAATAATAATTCAGATTTTAAAAGAACATTAAATTCAGGAAATTATAGTTTCCCCCTCTTTCCTCTTAATTATTTCCACTGTTTTTATGATATTTAAACATCATGTGTAAGCAAAGCTTTCCTCCATTTTTTAATTCACTACTGAAATGCAATATTTATACAGCAATATTTATTTGCAATTTCTTTTCATAATCATCAAATCATGGCACTGATTTCTAGTTAATTAAAAAAAAGGAAAATTAAAAATTTTAAAGAAAAGCTTCTGTACACAAAGTGGCAAAAAATTAAAACCAGATAAGAATGAACATGTTGCTCAGATGATTAATGAAAACAACACACAATAAAGCCTGAAATCAAATAACTGAAAACATTAAAAATGCTGGCTGCAAATTTGATAATGGAATATCTTCAGAATTTAAATTTATTCATAAGGATTAAAAGTACCACAAATTTTATTTTTTCCAAAAGTTCAATATTTAATTTCTTTATACATAACATATGTAAAAAAAAGAAGGTAAAAAAATGACTATATGTTTCATCTAAAAGACAGCTTTTTCAAACCTACCTTACATTTTACACTTTTAGGACATTTTTCAGTCTAACAATACACAGTGCATAATTTGTTCAACATACAAAGTGAAAATTTTCTATTTTAACAATCACCTATATGGATTCCTCTCTTTAATTTTCATATTTTAACCGATAGATAAATGGTTGCCTTATATTCTTAATTAAAAAGATCTTATGAAAAAATACAAATTTCAAAAATCTATTAGGAGTACTGAAATTTATTCTATGAAATGAAATATTATTTTATTCAATAACTGAAATCAGATACAATACATTATTCTTTGCAATCACAATAAAGTTATTAAAACTTGAAGAAAAACAAAGAATGATAAATAAGAATTCACAGGTACTATTATCAGTTGGTCTCCTCCTACATACAGAATCCACTAACAGACAGCTTATTGCATGAAGGCTTGGATTAACCATTAAGCAACAAAGGATGTCTCAAAAACAAACTTTTAGGAAAGTAGGGCACATCAATAAGGATTGAAAATTGCATAGCAACCTATGACCAGAAATGTCAGGGACGAGTGATGTCAAAGGTAGAAAATCGAAAAGGACACAAGAGAGTGATTAACTTAAAACATTTATTATACATCACAAGTACAAATGGCATAATGATATGATACAGCACTAAATTTACACAGATGTTTGAATTCTGCACCATCAGATACCAGACACGCCTGACACCGACAGAACATTAATTGCGTACATGGTTGAACATACCAGGAGTTTCTTTGATTGTAGCAGCACCGCAGACAAGTCTTGCCATAAGATCCATTTCAGACTCCACAGAATCATGATACTTGTAACTGGAGGACTCCCCGCAGAAAGAAATCAAGGCATGATAAATTAAATGAGTGTATCAGCCAGGGAGCCAGTCCACCATGCCCAACCCATCAATGCATAAATGACCTGTTCAAATGCCCCCGAACTGCCAGTCAAAAGTAAGTATATAATATCATGTTGAAACCACATGTTGCACCTCACATTTTCTGGGACACTGCCTAATAAATCGGAAAGAATCTGCTTCAGAAAAATTTGATAATTCGCGACAGTCAAGCGGAATGGTAAAAGATAAGGCCCAGCTAAGCAGTCGCTGACCAAACCTGACCACACATTTACTGCAAAGAGATATGCCGCATGATGCCACCCATCATAGGGGTTCTCTTGAGCCCCCCCCCAAATGCACATTTTGATGATTGAATATGTCATTCCTACTGAATGTGGCTCATCAGTGAACAACATATAAGCTTGGAAATTCACATCTTGGATACTGTGTTGTAAATGCTACTGTGCAAAATGCATATGTATAGGATGATCATCAGAGAGTAGTAATTGAGTCCGTTGAAGATGAAATATATGCAAGGGCTCAGCATTAAAAACATGCTGCACATTAGAATGAGACATTCTCTTAAGGCGGAGACAACAGCATGTATACTGTAAAGACAATAGCACATACTGGGAGACTCCGGCATCCCACTTTCTTCCATAATAACTGAACGCATAAATCGTGGCCTAGAGTACTGCTACTTCTTAATGACCCATACTCACACAAACATTGTGGTGGGTTGATGTCTGTCTGAGAAGTCCTCTTGATAAATTCATTCAGTGGCTCGTCCATAGCCGTCAGCTATTCTGTACACTAGTGCATGTCGGCAACTCAGCATTTAAATACCATTGCATGCTCTTCATATGTTGGCTACCCCTCGAATGAGGAACTTTTCCCTCCAGCGCTCTCGTGCAGAGCACCATCTAGAGGCATACAATGACGTTTTCCGATCATGAGTTGTTATCAAATTCTCAATCCTTATGGTGTAACCTGCCTCCCCTAAAAGTTTGTCACTACAATTTTTAGACACCTTGCACCTTAGGGCATCAAGGAAAGAGAGCTTAGCTATTCAAGAAAGAGGCACTAAAAATGTCTCATTGCCAGTTTTACCATGGAATGCATGGTGCAGCTAAAGTAACCGAGACAAAGAAGGAATGAAGAAAAAACTTGCATAAACATATGTGGGGCACTAAAATCTTTCAAATGGTTAGGGCCTCTAAAAGTCTCAATCCAACCCTGATTGCATGCCAATGTAACTAATCACTCTTCATATGAGAAAAGAACCTGAAGAAAAAATATCCAAGTTATAAAGACAGATACTTAGACACCTAATACAAGATTTCAGATGTGAGTATTTAGAATTGTCTTTTATGTGAGTACTGAGTACTGCCTTTCAAAAGATTATACTCTTGATTAAATTTCTGAGACATAAAATGACTGAGACTTATTAATGTCATATCTTACAGTAATAAATCTGCAGAAATTATGGTATGCAATCAAGTCTTCCGAATTACATGCTACAATTTCTGCATATATGAAATTTTTTGTAACAGCAGCAAGCATTCCTTGTAAAACAAATACCTACTTGTTACCACCTTTACACAAGTATTGTTAGAAAAGTTCAAACGGAGTGTTTGTGAACATGCATCTAATCTTGCTATTTTCCCCATTAAGATATTTTTTACAATCAACAAATAAGTATAGTTATTATGTTAACGGCAAAAGCAATAAATTCCCTTCAGTCAGACTATGCTATCGTCAAACACCAAGAAAATGTGTTGAATATTAAGAATTGTGTAGGAAGTGGACAGTCAACACCAAAAAATGTGTTGAACATTAAGAATTAAATTTTACAATCATCCAAAGCATGAAAAGTCATTTGCCTATTAATAAACTTTACTTGTTCGATGATTCGGTGCCCATAGTTAATAAAGTCAGAGACTGACATGTTGCAACCATATGACTAATGCTGCTTTAATAGCATTATTAAACATTTTATACTGCTTCTTAGAGAAGGCTAAACATTCAGCATAAGCCAAAAGCTTAGAATATACCTCTCAGTCAACAGACCTACCTCTTCCTGGGCTGGATTTAGAGAATCAGATCTATATAAATTATAAATAATACAAAAGCTGATGGCCTTTAATAAGTGTCCATCTCTTTGTGTGCAATAAATTTCTGAGTCAAAATCTCGAGCTAAAGATGATCATTAATTGCATTCACTGGTTAATAACAAATTCTTGAACAAGGTTCTGGATAGTACCCAAAATAATTTCTACCAGTGCTCTCAAGTATGAAATTCTTCTCAAAGATAAATTTTTCATGACTTTTGCAATACATCTTCAATGTAACCACAACTTCAGGACCTAACTTACTGAGGACTTTAATCTCTAATTGTATATATTTTATACATATTTTGATCATTGATTTCACACGAGTATTTTGCTCATATAGCTAGTTGCACTAATTTTGTTATTATTTCATATTTTAATTTCTTTAAACTTCTGCATTTGTATACATACTTGCTTTGCATTACTCAGTTATTGTTTATATATTTTATATACATTATTGTATCTTAGTATATAGTATTTTCAATCTTCTATAGGTTGTGGTGTGTGAACTATATCTTATGCTGAAGTCATTTATGACTAATCTCAGGTTTTTCTCATTTCATATAAGATCTGTATTTGTATGGCTCCAACCATCCCATTTTACCTCTTTGTGCTGTTCTCGTCAAGTAGGAATTCCATATTTCAGACCGATTTCAATGTGAAGTGCCCTTATTATGCTACTTTCAGAGACTTATAATAACCCAACTTCGGGCCAAATAATCACCACTAATGCAATATAAGCATTGATAACAACATGAAAAAAATAATCCAAATGAGAATTACATCACTAATGGAAATGCATAAGTATTTATAATTATTAAAGTGAAAAATCATAGTTCATCTAAGTTTTTATTGCTAGTATCAGTCATTCATCTCGGTGTTTCATTAAATACCAGAAATTTAAAAAACTTAATACTCTTAGATTTTCATTAAAAAAAATTTTTAGTTTGAGAAATTCCTAATATATATTTTCAGTATTATACAAGCAAAATGGGTCTTAGAAGATGGCCAGAAGATACAAAATGATGATGTACAGAAGAGTTTAATAAATTTGCAATGAATAATTTATTTTTTAAAGTAACTATGCGCAATTTATTTTGCTAATAAAACTGTAAGCACTAATGCTCAATAATGTAAATATCACAAATGCATTTTGTGTTACAGGAAAAAAGTAATAAGTTTATTATTTTTATTTTATTATGAAATTATAATTTGCAGAGATCTTACCTCTTGGTAGCAAAGCAGGAGCTAAACTTTGAACTTTCTTCTTTGATTTTGCATTGATCTCTCTAAAAATACCAAAAATAAAATAATGCATAACATTTTAAACAGCATAAAATATTAAAAAATAATTTGTAGAGTAAATGAAATGCATAAGCTTTAACAAAAATGTTTCCTTCTGACTTATTCTTAGTTTAGTTAATTATTCAACATTTCTTAAAATACAATTCTGACTTCAGTATTGTAAGTGGTTTAAGATTTGTGGTAGAACAAATATTAGATTTTCAAATCCCACAGTAAAAAATGTCATTCTAGAATTTTCAATCAGTTTTAGAGAAAAGTTCAAATACATAAATGATTCAAGGTTAGCCTCTCAAGTATTGTTAAAACAATGTATTAAGATCTCCTACAGATGGCATTGTAGCAGCCCTCAACTGCCTGAGCAAAAAGTTTCACTTTAAGACAGCATTGACATGGGTTCAGAATATAGTGTGACGAGTTGTGTAATGTATATTTACTATGTAATTTATTAGGTAATATAATATATATAGTTCATTAAAGTGTTTTATTTAAAATGTTGAGCAGTTTGAAGGAACATACTTCACATTTTTATGGAGATACCAATGTGAAAAGGAAGCTGTGAATTCTAATGGTTTAGTTGCAAGCTTGCTCAGAAATTTGTGGAATTTTGCAAGAAGTGAAAGTAGGATTTTCTTTGATGTGTTGTTTATATTTAATTGTTATAAAATGTCATAATTAGATAAATTGAGAAAGGAACATAGCACAGTTAGGTCTACATTAACTAAGTTAATTAACAAAATTCAAAATTTTGAAGCTTTCATTATTGAAGATTCTAGCAAGATAGATGTAAGAAAGAAAACAGATACTTTAAAAGAATTTTGAGCCTAAATAATAGACAAGGAAACTAATTTAAAATGATTAAATGATGAAGTCAAAACTTTTTGGAATGATGATGATATAGATGATGAAATTACTGTGTCAGAATTTCATCAGTAATTCAAGAAAAATTATCCTCTGGAAACAAAAGATAACCAATGTAAATCGTAGATTAATGAAAGATAAAATGAATATTAATAATGCATCCTTTTCTATTCCTGAAAATGCTCAGGATACACCAGAAAACCAAAGCCTTAGAGAAAACAAAACAATTAAATTTCATAAATTGATAATTAATAAATATTATAGTGATCCTGCTTCTTGATTAGAATTTTATTAGCAGTTTGAAAGCGCTGTTCATAATAATAGTAATCTTACAAAAATAGATAAATTTAATTATTCAAGGTTATATTTAAAGAGGTATGGCATCTAATTGCATAAGTAGCTCTGCATTAACAGAAGAAAATTATGATGATGTAAGAAATTTTACGTGGAAATATATTTTAATCGCCAAAGAGGGCGTAAATCTTTCATGATGTTATACTTCTTGTTCTTGGATCTGGCAGAGCCAGTTGAATGTGTGTTAGACGTAAATAAACTTGGTAGTTTATAAATCTGATTCGTAGTGTTCATTTACCTTGATATTATGTGTGATTTGAATTAGCGTTTTTTGAACCAGGATATCTTGAAATTCTTGACAGTTAATATAATATTTAAATATTTTTGGCAGTAAAAGTTTAGAATTGGGTGCCCCTTGTTTATTGGCGATTCTTTCTTGACGCCAAGATCGGAACCAGGAAGTCACAATTTCAAGATGGCCATTACACAAAACCAAAATAAGAAGTCGAAGAATTGCATAAGATCTGTGTCCATGTACACATCGATCTGTTTTTACTTAAAAAATCATCCTAGAATTGCACAAAATAGGCATTGCGCACTGCCTTAAATATGTGTATGTACACATCAATCTATTTTCATTTAAATAAAATCGGATAGCTAAAATAAAGTTAAAACTATGGTGGTAAACAGAAGTGAGGTTTCATCTCCAAAATTTAAAAAAAAAATGTCGCCAATCGAAGGAGCACCCAATTCTACACTAAAGCCTTTTTGGCGCCCAACAGTTGCGCACGAACAATTATTTTGATTTAGAATGCGGTGTTTTTCGTGTTACCGAAAAATTTATTCCTTTGCACTGAACGTACGGGCAGGATTAACGTTCAGAATACTTTTGAATGTGCTTCACCATTAAAAGTGAGTTCCTAAATTTAGGAATTATACCATTTGAAGCCTGCACCAGGTAAAGAGAATAAAATTACTTTTGTTGTTATTATAGCAGATGATATTATTAAATTGAAATCTACTAGAAAAGTCATGAGACAAGCTATTTCTAAAATAATAAATGTACTAGAACCTGAAATTAAAAACGACATTTGGGATAAGAATATGCTACAAGAAAATGTGTTTTTTTACTTACTTCTAAACAAGTCTGCGTTGAAAGAAATTAATGAAAAAAAATGCTGGATTGTTTTAAAGGGGATGAGTCCTGAATATTGAGAAAAGAATGTAATACCTGTGTTAGAGTATGATGAAAAAATGAGTCTTATGTATTTTTAGGGTCTAAAACAGAAGCTTAATTTAAATTCTCAGATAGTGAATGAGCATTGAAAAGTGAATCGCCTGGTAACCATACTGCTGCCGTAAAGGTCGAAAATAAAACTAACATTCGGTTACCTAAGAATTTCAAGTTCCTAAATATTATGGTGATCCCAGTTTATTTTTGGAATTTTATAATAATTCCTTTGAAAATGCTATTGGTAATAATAATGAGTTAACAAAGGTCGAGAAGTTTACCTATCTTAAATCCTTAACTCGCAGGACCTGCTTTAAGTGCAATATCCGGGTTTGCACTATCTAATGAAAATTATGACGCTCCTGTTAAGCCTGTTTTCTATAAGTTTAATTAAAGAAAGATTTGGACGAACAGATTTGGTAATATCTTCGCACATGAATAAACTCTTGAATCTTGAACCGGTTAGAAGTTCGTCCAATGTGAAAGCACTAAGAACACTATACGATTCCTGTGAAATCAATATAAGAAGCCACTTAAAAATTCATTTAGACTAAATTGTGTCGGAAGCTTAAATGGGAACACTTTTAGGAAGCCTGTTATTTTAAAGCTTTTACCAGACGATATGAATCTGGAGTTTAATATATAAAGAAACTCTAAAGAGCAATATAGCCTAAACAGAACTTCTCGAATTCATTCGATTGGAAGTTGAGAGTCTGGAAGCTTCTAATTTAATAATAAACTCAAAGAAGCGAGACACAAATTGCAGTGTTAAGCAAAATAAAATAATTACTTAAAAAAGGCAAGCGTTCCTACTGCTTCGGCGTTAGCCACAGTGACTAAGCCGTATCGTTTCAATTGTAATCAAGAATACCACATGATGTAGGAAATATGTGAGAAAACAAATGAAGCAAAAAAGAGAGCGATATTAAGAATGCCATGGATCGTTGTTACAGATGGTTAAGAGAGGCCATGTGTCGTCCAGATGTAAAATGAAACTTCAACCTTGTCAGTTGTTTAATTGTTTCAAATCATACGTTATTTTGTAAAAATATTCTTCCTGAAGTGGAAGCAGTTTCAGATGTTAAACCGAAAGTTACAGTATCAGATTCTAAGCAGAAAGTAGTTGCATCCTGTCGTTTAACTCTCAGACTGTTTCTGAAACTGCTGATAAAGGTGTATATTTACAAACTTGCACTGTTTACGCTTCAGATACAGATAATACTAGAAGCCAAATAGTAAAAATCTTAGTTGGTGGTGGATCACAGAGGTCATTTATTAGATCTGATTTGGCTAAAGAACTAAAATTAAGAACTTTAAGGAAAGAAAGGTTATATATTTATTTATTTGGGTATAGCCAAGGTAGACTAATAGAATATAATGTTGTTCAGATTACCTTGAAAAGTATGCATTTCCCTAATGAATCAATAACTCTTGAAGCTCTTGTTACAGATAAAATTTCTAGAGCGATCATGAAAATTCCCTCCAAAAACATTTTAGAAATATTAAAATCAGAAAATCTAAAATTAGCCGATAATGGTGAAGCAGCTGAAATAAAAATATTGTTAGGATCGATTCATGTTGGAAGTGCAAACAGGCGAAAAGAAAAGAGTAACTAATAAATTATTTGCGGTGTCTTCTATATTTGGTTGGTCCTTAGTTGGATCTTTAGAAGGTGATCAGTCTAGTGCCTGTATTTTTACAACTGGTGCTTCTCATTACTTGAAGGAAGATAATAATTCAGTTAATGACTGTTTGCAAAGGTTTTGGACTTTGGACCACTTGGGTTTAGAGGAGAACGAGAATCCTGACGAAAAATCAGTCATTGAGAAATTTGAAAAAGAATTGCATTTTACTAATGGCAGATATGTAATGGAAATCACATCATGAAAACTTAAGTAATAATTCAGAAAATGCCAAGCGACGTCTAGTATCTTTGGTTAATAAACTAAAAAGTGATGAATGGCTTAGAGCGAATTATGATAGCATAATAAATGAGCAGTTAAAAATTGAAATAATTAAAGAGTGCGAAATTGAAAGTTGTGATAGAAGTAAAATGTATTACATGGCACATTCTCCAGTTGTAAGAATAAATGTATCAAAAACTAAAGTCCGTATCGTGTTTGACGCATCTTCGAAGTGTAATGGGGTATCTCTGAACAATTTGTTTGATGCCTGGCCCAAATTTGAATCCTTCTGTTTTTGGACTTGATATTGCGGTTCAGACAATACAAACATGCATTCTCAGCAGACATTGAAAAGGCCTTTCTCCAGATTGGAATCTCTGAAATTGATAGAGATGTATTAAGGTTTTTATACTTTGATAATAATTATAATTTGAAACATTATAGAATGACTCGCATTCCTTTCGGTGTGTCATGTAGCCCCTTCATTCTGGCGTACACTATAAAAAAGCATATAAAGAAAATAGAGTTAAAAAATCCAGATATTTTTGAGATGTTGAATTGTTCGATCTACGTAGATGATGTCTTCTATGGTGCAGATTCTGTGGAACAGGCTTTTAAGTTAAGTACTGGGGCCTATTGCATGCTTAAAGATGCCGGAATGAATTTGCGTCAGTTTAATACAAATTCCGAGAAACTA